CCCGTGTCCTGGAGCGCCAGGCGGAGGCAGCCGAGTCCGTACCCTACCTTTCGGGAGGGGCGAGCTCCAGCCACGCACCCCTGCCAGGAGCCCGGACTGGAAAATCACCGCGCAGCGAGGGCCGGGTTGAGGCGGCGGGTGGCTCCAGGACAAGGTAGGAGGATCGATTTCCACAGCCAAGAAGACACTCCCATCCCGCCTTGGCTTGTTTAAAAAACTGCAGGGGCGAAAGTGACGGGCGGCCGGGTACCTCGATTTTCTACCCGCCGGAGGGCGGAAGAAGTAAACACGCTGGCCCCGCACCAGGAACTGTCTGTGACGCGCGGTGCGGGGGGCGGTTGGATCCCTATCAGAAGGGGAAGGGTGCCGAGAGCGCTCCAGAATTCCTGCGCTTCAAAGACGAAGGTGTCAGGGCTTCTTACCTCTTGAAGGCGATGTGACCTTAGAACACAGATGGGACCTTTTTTTTTTTTTCTCTTGGTAAAATAGCTCTGCCTATGGAAGAGCCTGTATTAATAATGTCCTCAGACTTGGGTGGCTTCGGATACTTTTAAAATGTCAGTGTTTGTCAAATAATTCATTGTCTAGCCACATTCAGGTAATAACTCCAGCCTTCCAGCCCTGAGCAGCGCAGTCACGTGCTCTCAAATGACTCCAGAGAGAAGAGCTGCGAATTGGGCTGAGATTCAAAACTGGCAGTGTGTCGGGCACTGCACCCCAGCCCTCCTTCTGTGAGGACCTGCTGGTGTTTCTCTTGTTGAAATTACAGTCCTAGGAGGTAACATTGGTTATTTTCCCAATTTTACTAATCAAAAAGGCCGAGAGGCTTCAGGGAACTTGAATCCTATGCCCTTTCTACAAATTGCCTTTGACATAACCCACAAAGATTTTGTAACTTTTAAACGTGACTCTTGGGACATCAGGGTAGTAAAAGAGGTTTAGGGAGTTTGTCTGTCTGGCTAATTATTCTTGCAGTTTACTTTGCTCTCTTAGTTTCTCCAAAGTTCCTCCTTGTCCATTTCTCCTTGATGATCTTCAGACTGAAACCTGCAGTGTGACAGTAAAGCCACGCTCGGCAACATCCAACATTGAGGCCTCCTGTGAAGGTCCCAGGTCTTCCTACTGACATCTCCCTGTGCACCCCAGGAAGGCTGGGGGTGGGTTATCTCTGTGAAGGCTCAGAGGAGAGTGTGTGTCTCTATCTCTGTTTATCTCAGGCTCTCTCCCTCAAGAAATTAAACATTCAACCTGTTTCGGGGCCAGAAGGTGATGTGGTGGTTAAGGCACTAACTAGACTTCCATGTGGCAGACCACGGTTTGAGTCCCAGAGCTGGCAACTTGGAAATCACACCTGGTGTGTAAGTGCGTGCCCAAAATCCTAGAGAATAGAGGAGAAAGGATTATGGTGTGGCCACCCCTTCCCCTGGGTGGGGGTTGATTTCTCACTTTTCCTCTCTGTATCTCTGCAAAGAGCACACACACCCTATAGTTAAAAGCAAACAAAAACCCTTAAAAAATAAAATTAAACCTTTATTTCACATCATTCTCTCTGGCCTTCCTAGGCTTTTTGAATCCGCAGAGCGATATGCTAAGGAAAGAGGCCATAGCTGTGCCTGGGTATTTTGTGCTTCTACATGTTCACAGAAGCAGGAGTGGCAGTGGCTTCACCACACAAAGGCTGCCTCTTCACTGGTCTCTCCATGACCTTGGGGAAGTGGTGTCACTGTGGTATTTCCTTTTTGTCAATTGTAAAATGAGACAACATGATGGGTCTACAAACAGTTCATGAAAAATGCTTATTATTAAAAAAAAAAAAAACAACCGCGCACGAGTTTCTATTTTTTTTAACAACCCAAATAAATCTGTGCTTTAATTCCAGAGTCCACAAAGTTTGTAAAGTCCCTTGCACAACTGATCTTGAGAGATTGTGAGGAGGATTAAAACAGATGATGACTTAATAAGGAGTACTTGGCCCTTCCTGGCTAGGAAATCCATCAGTTCGGGAAGTAAAATGTAGACTCTAATGCTAAGAATATTGTTTGACTACCAGTCACTGCCCATCATGAGTCAGCTAGCCTCCATGCCTCATATCTGTTACCCTCACCCACCCTGCAAGCCATAACATCCTCATAATAGAAATGAATAAGCAGAGTCAGGAGGTTCAGTAATACACCCAAAGCCTACTACCTCCTTTATAGCCCTGATTCAAATAAGTGCCTAGGATCAAAATCAGATGTTTTTTTCCAGGATACTACCACTGTGTAACTCTCTCTAGTTTGATATGCTTAGCATTAATCCTCTTTTAAATAATTATTTAATTTTATTTATTTTTAAATTTGGTATCCCGTGCACTCACCAGGGAAAGACAGAGCGAGAGAGAAAGCAAACTGCCAGGCCTGGTACCAGCGTCCGCCCCAGGGCTTGGGTCTGGCTGAATCATGATCAGGGGGCTGCTGCTGAGGAAGAGAAAGAGGACGAGAAAGAGAAAGCCCTCCATCTTGCCAGGACCGGGGAATTGGAAAGAACGAGACAAAGGGTTAGAGTAGAAATGGACACAGGCAGCCTGAGCCTAGGTAGCCCAAGCAACTTGTGCCGCCCAGACAAACTGGACATCTTTGTTTGTAGTACAAGGAGACATTACACATGTACTTTCATGATACTTCATGGATTAGTTGCCAGGTTACAGACAATAAGAAGCAGTTAACAAGTCTATAAGAGATTAGTCATACCAGGGGCAAGGTGTATCCCTTGGTGGTAATCCCATCTAGAGTAAATCTCATCTTCCTTCCTAATGCAGAGAACTAGCTATTAGGTGTGGAGAAGCAGCTAAAGAACTTCTCCATAAGGAGCGCACCACCACACCCAGAGAAGTCTAAAGAACCTTTCAGATGCAGGGCAGGGATTGGACTTTACTAATTGGGGTCAAGATGTTTCTTAAAGTCCATCAGATGTGTCTGTTGGAATGCCCCTAGTAATTTCCACCCTTGCTCTGTCTGCAGCCAAGGGCAGGGAAAGACAAGTTACAAGGTTCTCCCAAACCCCAAAAGAGCATGTGGTGTTTGCTCAGCGCATGTCCCCACACCTCAGACTCTCTCTTAAACGTGTCCCTACAGCCTGGGACTTGAACCATGGCCTGACATGTGAGAGAGTTCAATGTCTCAACCACCATGCTACCTGCTGGCCCTAATGTTAATTTCTAAAGTTGAGGAGATATTGTTCTATGGACATATGATTGGTACTATAAAAATATTTTTAATTCCTGTGGAAGCTGACAAAGGATTAAGTAGGCTGATGGGATTATAGATTTTTAGCCTTTCTAGGTTAATGTGTTTGATCATTATTTTGGGGAAAATGGCTTTACAGTATAAATATATTTAACTCGGACTTTTTGTAGAAGTTTTATTTTAATAAGGGATAACAAGAAGAACTGTGAAGGAAGAGAGGTTACTTGGGACATTCAAGGCCTCAAAGACTTCTAAAGTCATCCTGTTCAGGCAGTGTACAGTTAAGGCTGCTACTGTTCACTAAATTTATTATTTGATTATGGATAATGCAATCTCTCTCAAATAAAATATTTGTGGGATGTGGCCTCTACATTCCCAACGATTGGTAGAAGCCAGGTTCTCCATATTGCCATGGGAAACCATTCAGCACTTGTAGATTCGGCGTAGAGTAAGGCCAGAGAAAATGGTCTTTCTTCCACCCCCAGTGTAGGAACTGCCTTCCAAATTCTCATGGCCTGTTTCAAGTGTGGCCTTCCCTGACTTGATTGACGGTAGGGACTCTTTTCTTTGTAGGGAAGAGCTGCTCCTGAGGATGTGCTCCCCACAAGTTAATCATATCAGATCATAGTAGGTGAACCCAAGGACTGGAGATACCCATAAAGTGTTGAGAGGCCACTTTCTTACAGCATCCTCTTATAAGTTCAGAATAAAATAGTTTCTTTTTTACAAAATAAATGTTTTTTCAACTCCTGAGTTGTTCCATTTTAAACAACATCTGGCTCAAGACTGAGCGTGACCAACTTAATCCTTTTTACATAGCATTTGTCCTCCCACTCAAGGTAGAGATCTTGGCAGACCCTTACAGCTGCTTTGGGGTTTTATATCCCATAAGCTCTTGTTGAAAGAATATGTGCATCTCAAAAGAGTAAGCCACAGTGCCTGAGCAGGCTAGCTCCTGCCTTAAAGCCTTGTCTCTACCTCGTCGTCGTCCTGTCGTATGGGGACAAAACTACTACTTCAGCAAAGGTGGTTTAGTTCTTTCAAGCAGCCATACTTCTGCAGCATCTCAGAACGGAGCTCAGCTTTATTTTTGCATATATACATAATATTGGGATGGAAAAAGGAATGCAAGTCTCCAAAAAGTTGATTTCCAACTTCATAAATGATGGTGCCCCATATTCTGTCGATCTTGTCAAAGTTTCGGGAGTGGTAAGGTCTCAGCCTCTGGAAATGTTATTTACTCTCTTTTTACGGTCTGGATAGTGAATGAAGGGAGTGGGGAGTAGGCAGGCCCCAAGCAAGTGTGCAACATCTGCTTGGTGGAAGCCATAATTAAGACCAATGACAGAGAACAATCGCAACATATTATTTAGAAAGAGGTACTTGTTCAGAATATGTAACAAAAAATTTCTATGAATCTGTAAAAATGTAACCCATTTCAAATAAGACACATGCTATGCATAAGCAACTGGCAAAATGAATACAAATCGTTCACAAGCATGTGGGAAGATGTGTACCCTTCTTTAAGAAAAAGCAAACAATAATGAGAAATAAGATGGGCAGAAACTGAAAAAGAGGAATGAGATTCAATTTTGCCTAAAGGCATTAGAAAATTATTTATGGAAATATGTAGTAGTACTTCCCTGCTAGAGGTTCCTAATTAAGTTATGTTCCTTCAGTTTTCTTTTTTAAAAAGGTGGAAAGGCCTGGGAACCAGCAGTTAGCATAATGGCTATGTCGCTGGACTCCCACGTAGTCGACCGCGGTTCGCGTCCCGGACCCAGTGGCTTAAAACTCACGCCGGGCGCGTGTGCGTGCGTGCCCAAGATCCCGAGAGGAGAATGGAGGAGAAGGGATTCCAGCGTGACCATCCCCCCTGGGGGGTGATTTCTCGCTTTCTGTCTCTAATGTCTCTCTCTGTCTGTCTGGCGAGCGCACGCGCCCTATAGTGAAAATCTCTCCAAAAAAAAAAAAGGTGGAAAGGCCTCAAGACAACAAGCAAACGGGAGAGAGGAGAGGGAGGGGAGAGAACACAAGATCTCCTGGCTGGCTTTTAGTGACCAGGATCACGCAGGGAGAACACTTCCAAGTTGCATAGAAGCTCTCTCCAGACTCAGAGCAGGTCCAGGCTCTGAGTGGGGCAGATGCGGAAGGCGTAGTCTATACAACAGCTGTATTTTGGAGCAGCTTGCTCAGAGCTCTTTTGCGTTTTGGGAAGGGTGAGCATTCTGGACTGTTGTCTGTTGACAAGTCCCCTTCCTGGAGTAGAGGGAAGTATCTCACTGCTCCTATCTGTCCGAGGAGCCTCTCCCGTAAGTTCTGCTCCAGTTCCATGACTTCTCCCTCTGTCAGAGTATTCGGGGTCTTTGAAAAGTGCTTGGAAAGCATGTATTCTGAAAAACTATGCACAGATTTGAAAATTTTGTACAAAATAAGCTTGTACTCTGACTTCGTTTTTCAACAAACTTTTTGAAGTCTCCTCGTACTAAAGGTAACTTGGTCCATTAATTATGTCTAACATCTTTACACATTTGTCTCTCAGATCAGATCCTGGGGATCTTAGGTGGTTTACAGAGCTGGATTTCTGCTACTCTACTTTATGGGAGTGTTTCTAGGGCCAGCAGGTGACATGGTGGTTAAGGACGCTGGACTCCCATATGGCCAATTGTGGTTCAAGTCCCAGACCTGGAAGCTTGATTTCTCACTTTTGCTCTCTCTCTCTCTGGAAATATTAAAAAAATAATAATAAAATTAAATTAAATAATTCTTTAAAAACATTTCTGAATTTCTTTATTATCACCATAATAACTTATTGACTTTGTAACTGGTAAATATTAAGAAAAAATGTTTTTCAAAATATTTTACACTTTAGCAATTTTTAGGGACAATTTCTTAGAGACCATCAAAGAGCTTAACTTGTTGGGAGACGGGGGAATCAATTGTTTTTCTGCACTATGGTGATCAAAGCTGATATTGCAAAGGGGGTGTATACACTATTATCATCAGAAAATTGATAGTGACAGTGTTTAGGAAATCTATTATTTTCAACCTCAGAATCAAAGAAACTTATCTCCCAAACTTGGAGGGGATTTTCACATCACCATGAGGGTATTTATAAGAGAATGAC